ATCCAAGTATGCCAATAATGAAAATGTGCCATGCACTAAGAAGTATGACTTATCCAGTTCTCAGTATTTGCGCTCCAAAGGAAAATGAAAAGATATTATAATACTATAGAGGTTTCTTCCGTTTGGTTTGCACTAGCAGTGAGTGGGAGGCAAGTTATAAAGTAACTTACTAGACAGATAGATGAAAAATAATGCATTAATTTCTTATCTCTAGATTAGTACCATTCTTAGGGAAAGGAGCTACAGAGAGAAGATAGGTGAGGAGGAAGGCTGTCTGCAGACAACGTCCATGTGAAGCACATTTAATATACAGGGCGGCAGCTGAGATCAAAAGACACTTTTGTGTGGACTGGTTGGCACTGTCAGAGTCCTAAAGTTGGACTGCTCTGTTCTATCTGCCGGGCGGTATTTCTCATACATGTTTATGTCAAAAGTACCTATAGAGTTTTAGAGCACTATGCAAGGACTTTAAAAAGTTCATAAAAAATGGAATTAAAATACAAATTTATTTTGGTGCAAGAAACATTTTGAAATCTATCATTTTTTCCCCTAATATGCATTTTCCATGAACTTTTTGATGACCTCACATATAAGACCTGCACAGACCTATCAAATCAGAACCTGTAAAGGTGGACCTAGGAATATATATTTTCAAAAAGCTTAATAAATAAAACAGAACTACAGTAAAGATGAAAAATGTTCCCTGAAGAGTGTGCTAAGAAATGTTAAGTGGGTAGCATATTATAAACAAGAGTCCAAGGTTCCATCCCCAGAGATTCTTACCTAGGAAGCAAAAGGCCTAGTTCTCTGCATTTTCAATAAGCACTCTGCAAGCAATTCTAATGAAGGGAATTCCCTGAGACCACACTGAGAAACATTGCTTCAGAGCCTCAGGGTTACACTGTATATTTGGTTCCTAGGGCTGCCATAATGAAGTTGCACAAACTGAGTGGCTTAAAACAAAAGGAATTTATTCTCTCAGAGACCAGCAGTCGGCGTAATGGCTATGTCACTGGACTCCCATGTAGTCAACCACAGTTCGAGTCCCAAACCCGGTGGCTTAAACTCACGCCGGGTATGTGTGCGTGCATGCCCAAGATCCTGAGGGTAGAATGTCATGGCCATCCCCCTGGGGGGTGATTTCTCGCTTTCTGTCTCTCTGTCTCTCTCTCTCTGTCTTTCTGGCAAGCACACACACCCTATAGCAGAAACCTCTCCAAAAGAAGAAAGAAAGAAAGAAAGAAAGAAAGAAAGAAAGAAAGAAAGAAAGAAAGAAAGAAAGAAAGAAAGGAAGGAAGGAAAAGAAAGAGAAAGATGAAAAAAGAGAGAGAGATGTATAATAACATATATAGAAAGAAAGGAAGTAAGGAAGGAAGGAAGGAAGGAAAGAAGGAAAGAAAGAAAGAAAGAAAGAAAGAAAGAAAGAAAGAAAGAAAGAAAGAAAGAAAGAAAAGAAAAGAAAAGAAAGGAAGGAAGGAAGGAAGAAAGAGAAAGGAAGGAAAGAAAGAAAGAAAGAAATTTATTCTCTCAGATCTGGAGGTCTGGAGGCCTGGAGGCTGGAAATCTGGAATGAAGGCATCCGCAGGGCCACACACCCTGTGAAATCTGATGGTGGTTTCTGGTGTTTGCTGGCAATCTTTGGTGTTCTTTGGCTAATAGATGGATCACTTCAATATCTGCTTTTGTCTTTTCCCTATGTGTCTCTGTCTTCTCTTTTTATAATCCAATCATTGGCTTAGTGCCAACCTAATTACCTCATTTTAACTTGAATATATCTGCAAAAACCTTATCTACAAATAAGGTCACATTCACAGGTACTGGGGGTTGGGACTTCAACATATCTTTTTGTGTGACTCAATACAACCCATAACACTGTTTTAAATACCCTTTAAAAGAGGGACCACCAAATAACCAATAAAACAGATTAGCTATGTTCTTTTATCTGGGATACCTAGAGAGAAAAACCAGTATTTAACTCTTAAAGTTCAGTGTGCCAAGAATCACTTGAAAAGTTTTTGTTTAAAATATATATTCCGGGGCTGGCAGGTGGCATGGTGATTAAGGTGCTGAACTTCCACATGGCCAACCATGGTTTGAATCCTGGACCTGTAGGCTTGCTTTCTCACTTTCCCTCTCTCCTTGCCCCCCTCTCTGGTCAAATTAAAAGGTAATAGTAATAAATAAAATTAAATAAATAATTTTTAAAAACTATATATTCCAGGCCAGCCTGTGGCATGGTGTTTAAGGTAGCTTGATCCCACATGGCCAACAGCAAGTTTAAAGTCTCAAACCCAGCAGCTTGAGATTCATGCCGAGAGTGTGTGTATGGTTGCCCAAAATCCCAAAAGGAAGAGGAAATGGAAGAGAAGTGACTAAGGCATGACCATGCCTCATGTGGGGGAAGGAAGTGTACCTTCTCCCTCTCTCTTTTTTTCTCTCATTCTCCAACCCCACTCCCACGTTAAGCACATGTGGCCTCTGGCAAACTAAAACAAACAAACCATATTCCTGGTTCTCAGTTCCACATAACACAAAAGCAAAATAGGTATAATCAAAATCAAAATGGTATAGCAAAAATATTTCCTAGACCATTGTTCCAAAGACAGATTGCTCTTGTTTCTTGTGAACCAGGTAGTGGTAGTTCTGCTCGAATGTTGGGGCAGTAAGTAAGTAGACATAGAAACATGTAGAGTACAGGAAGTCTGGTAATGTAGGCTAGGGAATGTAAACATAAAACTGAATGTGACCCAGCTGTGATAGCATACACTGGTTGATGCTGCTACTCCACAGACCAAGGCACAATGGAAGGCCCAGTTTCAACTCCAGGTACTACCCTAAAAAATAAAAAACAGAAAACCACCAAGCTTAGTAGCATGTACCTATAGTCCCAACTACTCAAGAGGCTGAGGCAAGAGGATCATGATATAGTGAGACTGTCCAACAAAACAAATAAAAAACTTGAAGTGCTCCAGGCTGGAGGCTGAATTCAAGATGATAGGAAGAGTAATGTGATTGTTGGATCTATTTCGATTAACTCTCCTTGGGTATGTTAACAAGAGACAGAACTAGGCTACACTGTCAGCAATCTGCTACTATTGCGTATAAAACTATGACAGGTGATGGTTGTTTCTATTATTTATTTTAGTCATCTATATTCAAAATTCATACTTAGAATGACAAGCTACATCACTTTGGAAGACTTCAATGGTGAATAGTTGACCCTATTTACATGCTGGAATGTTTTTGCCAATAATGACAAGGTTCTGTCTTTACCAATAAAGGATGCAGTTATTTTCTCAGACTAAACATACCCTCTTAATTCCTGCTAATCTAGACTGGAGGGATAGGTATTTTCCCCACTCAGCCTTAAGTAAGAGAGAGAACAAAAAGAGCAAGCCTGCTTTCCTGAAAATTCTGATTTGTTAAAGTGACAATTAGCACTGGGATTTGGAGATTGAAAAACAAATCCTTAAATTTAGGTCTTCTTTGTTTCAGTGCTAGGTTTTCCTGGTTAAGCTAGATTGGTGATTCTCAGTTCTGGTTGCACTTTAGGGTTACTAAAGGAGCTTTTAAAAAGTAGCACTGTTGGGGCAAGCAGATGGCATAATGGTTACATCGCTGAACTCCCACATGGTGGTTTGAGTCCCAGACCCAGCAGCTTAAAATTCACACCAGGCAAATATGTGTACATACCCAATATCCCAAGAGAATGGAAGAGAAGGGATTATGGTGTGGCCATCCCTCTTGGGGGGTGATTTCTCACTTTCTGTCTCTCTGTCTCTCCAGCGAATGCATGCACCCTATAGCAAAAATCTCTCTTTAAAAAAAAATTCCTACAGTAGCAATAGCTTGGGCTCTATCTCAGACTAATAAAGTCACAATCTCTAGAAAGGTGCCAAGCCCCTACTGTGGAGATTATGATTCAGTAGGTCTATGCTGGGGCCCAGGCTCTGTATATTAAGAAATAGCTCAAGTGAATCTAGTTATCAGTCAGTATAGAAAGCATTGTCCTGATCTAACCTAGTCATCAGCTTCTTTTTAATAATCTGAATTTTTCTTTAACCCTTTAATAGCTATTTTCTACATAGCAAAATAGCATTCAAAATTGTGAAAACTGAAGATATCATTTTTGAGCTACTTTACTGGTAACATATCATTTTGTAATTTACTAATGCATTTTTATTTCAAAATAAACTGTCTTCTGTTTTTCTTAGATACCTGAATCTTTTATTTATTTATTTGATTTTCAGGAAAATAAATCTGTTGAAGAATCTTAAAGGCCAAATCTTCTGAGTCTAAGCCTACTACTGTCAGCATCTCCGAGACCTCCTCCATTTAAGAATTACCAGGTCTGACGACACTTCCCCTTCAATCTACGGTGAGGGACGTCAACAAAGCCATAGAAAACTCACATCCTCTAGACTTACAATCTTCGAGTTGTGCAGCTGGTCAGGAGCCTACAATTTCCATCCTCACAGAAGATCCAGAAAAACAGATGAGAGGGTGAAAATTCAGATATGCCGAGTCTTAGAGATACAAAAGTCTTTAAAAAGTCTCCTCATAAAAGTACCCAATTAAATTCACATGATTAATCCATACATCTAGAGAGCTATAGGTAAAATAGAGCTCTTTTTCCTTCTACCAGAGAGTAAGCCTGAGATAATCCTCTAAAAGACTCTTGTTTCCATACCAGTATTATAAGGATATTCTCCATATTTAATTGGGGTAAGAGTAGGAGTGTGGAAAATAAAATTTTATTTGTGTTTTTATAAAAAATAAGTTCTGACAAAATCTATTTGTGAGTAGGATTAATGCTTGCTGTGCTGAAGGATAGAGGGTAGTGCAATTGCCAAGCTAGAAGATCGCCATTTTGTTGCTTGTGCATTACTAACTTAGCTCTGAGAGTGACTGATTTGTATCAGATTGTTAGAACACTTTTAATATATTCAGAGACAGTCTAAGTGACTGTGTAATGCCTCAAGGCCAATAGATATAAAACAGCAACAGGTAACAGCTCAAGTCTTAAGTGATGACGGAGGTACATTTTAAGTACCATGGAAATCTCACTGGGCGAGCACATTTTCCCACTCTGGCAACAGAGGTTGACACCACGTCAGATAAGTATTCCAACCTGTACATGTATGTGGGCTTATTCTTGAGCCTCTTGGCCATTCTTCTCATCCTGCTCTTCACAATGCTTCTCCGGCTCAAACATGTCATCTCACCCATCACCTCTGAGAGCACAGAAAGTGTTCCTCAATTCACAGATGTAGAGATGCAGAGTCGAATCCCCACTCCTTGAAGCCAGGATGAAGGTGAGCTTGAGTACATTTCAAAAAACTCTTGTATGTTAATGTCCAGGAAAGTTTGCTTTCTTGCATGAAGTTTCCCATGGAGCGAATCAACAAGTTTTTCATTTAATAGCAAGCAGTTCATATTTTGTTATTCTTCATCTTGACTCTGCTTGTGGGATATCTAAGAAGCTTAAGACTCATTATTTGAAAGGAATATATGAAATAGCAGCTGGTCAAGAAAGCAGGTTTCCATAGTTACCAAAGAGATCCTAGGCCTTGAACAAACCTCAGACCACAGAAATGCATAGACAGATGTTAAAAAAAATAACAGAATCCTTGGAAATTAAAAAAAGAAAAAGGAGAATTTGCCTTCAAAAGTGCTGATTGATCAAAGAGGGTACTCCAAGGAAAAGACAAGTTTAAATTTAGTACTTTGACCCTAAAGAATCACCTTATTGCCATGAAGCTAAAGCATGTCAGAGGTTAATGGAAAGGAACACTAACCCTTTCCCAAAAGAGCAATGATTTGATCATCTTAGGCCATTGGATTTGTTCCAAATGAAAGAAGAGATTTAAAGAAACTGTTTCAGTTAAAATAGCAATTTTTGAGGCCAGTAGGTGGTATAGTGGTTAAGGCACTGGACTCCCACATGGCTGACTGCAATTACAGTCCCAGAACCAGAGGCTTGAAACTCACACTAGGTGCATGTATGTGTGCCCAAAAATCCCAAAAGGAGAATGGAGGCGAAGGGATTGTGGTTTGGCCATCCCCCCTGAGGGGGGAGATTTCTCACTTTTTCTTTCTCTGTCTCTCTAGCAAGTGCACATGCCCTACAGCAAAAATATATCTAATAATAATAATAATAATAATAATAATAAAGAACAAGTTTGTAGAAAGAAGTTTCTAGTAAACAAACTCAACTAGAGAAGAATGTACATATTACATCTGTGTTATTACTATTACCAGACTTACAAAAATTCAGATAATGACAGATGTATTACAAAAATCCAGAATGATGAGTTGCTCCCAAATCAAGGAAAAATTATTGGGCCACTGGAAAAGTCATGATGTATTTTCTGTTTTTCTTTTCTTTTTTTTAAATTTATTTACTCATTTTTAAAATTTGACCAGAGAGGGACAGAGCATGAGAGATTGAGAGAGAGAGAGGAAGAAAGAAAAAAAGAAAATGGGGCCTGCAGGTGGCATGGTGGTTAAGGGTGTTAGACTCCTACATAGCCAGCCACAGTTTGAGTCTTGGACCTAGCAGCTTGCTTTCTCACTTTCCCTCTCCTCTTTCTCTTTCTCTTTCTCTTTCTCTTTCTCTCTCTCTCTCTCTCTCTCTCTCTCTCTTTCTCCCTCTGTGGTCAGATTAAAATAAATAAAAGAATAAATAAATAAAGTTATATTAAAAATTTCTTAAAAAGAAAGAGAGAAAGCAAGCTGCCAGGTTCGAGACTCGAACTGCGGTTAGCCATGTGGGAGTGCAACACCCTTAACCACTATGCCACCTGCCGGCCCCATATTTTCTGTTTTTCTATGCAAAATTGCATCATGACTTTTCTAACAACCCAATAAGTCAAAAATGTTCTCATGATAATGAAGCCTACATTATATGTGCAACTTATCTGCCATTCAAGGATAGAGTTACATACAAATGTGAGTTTTGTCTAAAGGTAGCCTTGGCAAAGAAGACTCAACTGCACTTTAAAGTAGAAGTTAAATAATCTTTGTATTATGTTGTTGAACAAATGTGACAAAACAATCAAGCCTTCTGGATCCTAGGTATAATTCTTGCTGAAAAATGATCAGAGAACTATTTAGAGATCACTAGACTCTTTTTAGAACTTGAGTATATGGGATTTCAAAGGGAGACAAAAGAAAAAGAACTAAATAACACTCTCCAACAAATCCTTATTAGGACCAAAGTCCTCAAATGTCACTTTTGTCTTTTCCAGAAAATGCTCCTCCCTTCCTGATCCCTACCAAAAGATGAAGTGTTTCATTTCTTATCAATAAGAGGATATATTTTTTAAATTTCCACTCTCATAAATAACCCTAGTATGCCAATAGTGGAGAGAGAATTTGATTTTTAAAATTAACTTTCCAAAGGAGATGAGTACCATTTGCATATTAGAAATCAGAAAGCTGGTCATGTTCTTGCCACCAAAGAATAGTACACCTGCGTTAAATTCTACCTGCTTAAAAAAACAATCAGTCCTCCCTTGCTCTTAAAAGATGGTCATCAAATTTCGCAGGGTACTCCCTTGAGAACTGCAATGGTGGTTAAGAGAGAATTGGAAAGGATGTTAGGTTAATGCCACCTCCACCAGACATAAAGCTCTCTGTAATTCATAACCAATTTAGATCTGCCCCTGTACTCTGATCTAAATCTAGCTTGATGGTGAAATTCCCAAGTGCTATCCACTTTTATACACAGTCATTTGCTGATGCTCCCTTCTCCAGGGGGCTGCAAAGTGTGAAATCCCCACATGCAGAGCTAAACTTAGCAATGAGGCCGACTCTGCCACACCTGTTACAACTGTGCACTGTCAAAAATGGCAGCTGCATCCTGCACCATTCAGAACAAATTAGCAGGTAAGCTAAGACTTGCAGTGACATACAGTTCCCCTTTGGCTTAAGATTTTCCAGTTGTATCTTTATCAAATACCCAGACTCCATGAATCCTTTAAATTGTAGCTCATGGAAGTCATACATGGAATCCATCCGTGGCTGGTAACACACCACAGAACTTATTAATGAAACACATTTACCCTCACTCCACACTCTTCCTTTTGTGCCCACAGTATTGAATGCACTTTACAGTTGAGACGTCAGTGGCTGGAAAAATGAAGGAACTGATTACACTTTTCAACAGCAGTGAATAGCAAGATAACCAATGCCTTGTTGCTGAATCCTGATGAAGACACAGACTGCAAATCTATTCCCTGCCCACCTGACCTCCCAACCCAAATTTCAGGAGACTAAAACTACTGTTTTAAGCATTGAGTTGGAAGGAGAATTCCAATTTATGATCAGGCTACTCACCTGGAAAACAAACACCCTCTTTCATCACAACTACCCCATGGGATCCAGATCTTCACCGAGAATTAACCAAAGCACACAGCACAGATAACACTGAAATAGCAGCATAACTTATTCCCCTCAGTTTACAGTAGTAACATAAATGGAGATGTATTTAAGCAGATGTGTGATTATGGTGACTCACATGGTATTTAATCTTTAGAAAAATAAACTAAATGAAAGTTTTCATCATAGCAAATTACCAACAAGAAAAGAATTTTCCATTTATATTAAATCTATCACCCAATGTATTAGTTAACAAATATTACTGTTCAAAGAGGCAGTTAGAGTAATCAGTGGGTATCATTTGAATTTATTCTTCTATCCAAAATGCTGACTTGGCAATTCCCTCCCCTCCCCTTATTTCCCTTAAAATTGCAGGTTAGCCGGTATAAAAATAGGTAGGTTATTTATATATAGATATACTCAGTTTTAAGAAGAAAAGAATTATTCTTTACTTTTTATTATGCTCAACTATATAAGATTGTCCTTTATATGGGTCAAAAATGCTCAGATATCAGCCATGTCACATAATTCAGTGTAAAACAAAGGCTTACCATGCAGATTCTTTAAATAATAAACTTTCTTAATATATTTTAAACTAATTCAAATTTTGAAAATGTACTTTGTTTACATTTCAGAATCACGATTTATATCAAACAAGGTATATTATTAAAGGCTTATGTATTATGTATTAGGCAGGAAATATTAAGGTTAATCAATTAAAGATGGACTCATCCAGTCCAACCTTTCCATCATGCCAAATCTGAACCTTTGGACTCAGAGTTTGACTGCTGCAGATCTCCCCATACTTACTAAGTAGGTATAAGGGGTCTATTTAATGAATTTAAATGGTTATGTTTAGTAATACATTTTATTCACCTGCATTTGTATAAAAGATGTTTTTTAATGAAATGAAGAATTGTCAGAAAAAGTGAGTTTGTCTTGTTTGAAATCATTAACATTTGAAATAGATTCATATTGTTTAAAAGCAGAAATATAGTATTTGTATTAATATTTAGCATGTCATTTTTTAAATTCCTGGACAATAAATGTTGATTGGTTTGTTGATAACAAGTGTCTGTTGTCTAAAGGATGTAGAGAATTATGGTAGTCTCTTCATCCCAATATAAAGTGTGACACCTGCAAATTTATGGGACTTATAATTTTGAGGTTTCATTATTTTTTTCTTATTCCCTAGCCTCCCGGTTTTTATTC